TCACGTCATTAGATACGTATATTCACAGAGTACACAACAGTTTTGTTAATTTTAACATCAGAAAGAAAGAGGACATAAAAACACTGCCTCCTTACCATTGATGGTATTTTAAAGCAACTTATCAAATAACAAGCCCAAGAAACAAAACGTTTCACATATAAAAGACAGACAGATAAAACGAGTGCAAAAATTAAAATGTGAAAATCTACCTTAGCAAAAGAAATTATCTGGCGAGGAAGGGCTCGCACAGCAGCAGGAATACGCCATAATGGAGGGCTGGAATATCAACTCCAGGGGTTTTAGTATCACCCCATGCAGTTATACGTTTGTAGTAAATTGCTTAACTTTCAGTTTTATTTTTGTAATTCCATTTCACTATTGCACTGGCTGGATACAGTGAATGTTACTTTTAGATGGAAGTCGTAGTGGGTTTCAGAACCTACACCTGCAACGTATTTTATTTTCTACATGTGACACTTGTGATTATATTTTATGTATTTTTCCGTTGTTTCATCTTGAGGTAATTATTTAATTTATGTCCATATGCTAATTAAAGTGCCAGTTTAGTGGTTATCGTAACAACCACTAAAGGTCTATCAAGACATATGAAAATAACTCTACTTACTGGATAAATAATTTCTAAGTTTGTTATATTTTTTATATAGTTTACGGGCTTGATTTTTTTGTAATTTTAAAAGCAGTTTAATGGTAATTAGAAGAAAAAAAAGTAAACGAACCATGGACCCTCAGGTTCACAGCCTGACACACTAACAACTAGGCCACGGTAATCGTGGGTGCCTATAACTGTCATTTATACTCTATGGGCAAAAGTGAGCATGACAACAAATGAAAAACTATACCCAATATGTACCGTACTATAAAATGAACAGCAAGATGTATATATTTAAACTAATATATTTCAAAACAGTACAATATTCAAGTAATTGCTGTATAAAATTGTAAAAAATATAATACAATATAAATATTAAAAATTGTCATATCGACTGTATATTGCAATTCACAAACATTTTCAATTTGTTTGTTTGAGTTCTATGAGCTGTGAGAAAATATTATGTTGGGAATATCAGTGGCGTATCCAAGGAGATTTCCTTGCTACCGGGATCCCTGGCTTTTTTTTTTCTCCTTTGTATTTTACAACAATACACAATAAATGATTATCAAATAGTGGTCAACTTTTATCTTTTCATCAGTCCCAAGTTTTATCTTTTCATTATCAAAATTCTATTAAAATGCAATTTAAAATCTAATCTTTAATTTAAAAAACTGGAGGTGATAAATTGTTTTCCAATTTCTTGTAATAGTTATTTTTATATGACCACTGAAACCTTTACTTGGACATACACCATTAGCGTTTGCATACTCCAAGACTTGATCATCTTGGATATGTCACTGAATATGTATTTCAATAAGCCTTTTTTTATTATAAAGTAAAATTTTATTGCCATTTGTTTAGTTTGCTCTTATCTTATAGTTGGCCTTATATAATGAAGGTAATCCTGGATACCCCATTGAATATGTATTTCAATAAGCCTTTTTTTTATTATAAAGTCAAATCTTATTGCAGTTTGTTTAGTTTGCTCTTATCTTATAGTTGGCCTTATACAATGAAGGTAATCCTGGATACCCCACTGAATATGTATTTCAATAAGCCTTTTTTTTATCATAAAGTAAAATTTTATTGCAGTTTGTTTAGTTTGCTCTTATCTTATAGTTGGCCTTATACAATGAAGGTACTTAAGGCTTAGGACAATATGGATCTAAAAGTAACTGTTCTTAATTCTTTAGGTTTGGCCTGGTGGTGAAGGTGCTTGACTTGCAATCTGAGGGTTGCAGGTTCAAATCCCTGTCACTGAACATGCTCGCCCTTTCAGCCATGGGGGCATTATGTCGTTGCGATCAATCCTTTAATCCCTTTATTCTTGGGTAAAAAGAGTAGTCCAAGAGTTGGCGGTGGGTGGTGATGACTAGCTGCCTTCCCTCTAGTCTATCACTGCTAAATTAGGGAAGGCTAGCACAGATAGTCCTCGTGTAGCTTTGTACGAAATTAAACACAAATCAAACCTTCAGGTTTTGTTCTGTTTACAGGGGCTGAGTTATTTTGCATCTTGAAAGCGTGAAATCTTTTGTGCTGTATGCTTGTCATTTCTTGAGATAAACATTAATGAAAGTCTTCAGCACCTCTATTTTCTTGGCAGCTCAAGAGTGATCATTTATATATATACAGGGTAGGGCAAAAGTCACTATACAGTTGGTACTATACGTTTGTTGTGGTTGATATTATATGGCTGGTACTGTATTATCGAAAGTTTGGGTTAAGACGGCACACTTTGAGAAAGGGTGTCATATTTTGTTGCTGTGTGCCCATTTTAGTAAGATTTTAGTCACAACCTAGACTGTTAGTAACTGTTGCCATCCAAAGCTTCAAAATTGAGATAAATTTTGGCTTTGGTTTCTTGGATTCAGACCAGGGCTTGAGCTGATCAAGTCATCTTTTAGTATTTATTTGCTTCAAACCAGTATTGAACACGACATACACTACAGCATGGGGCATTATGATTCTGAAAAAGATCCTTCTCCCCATAGAATTACACCAGTGAATTTTTAAACTTTTCCCAATTGAGCAAGCTTAAATAAATTAAAGGAAGCCAATGTCATTATACTACTTCTGCCATTCTTCATGGTTGAAACAGGCTCAGACAGCACAATAATATTTGCAGTGTTCTTTAGGTTGCTGTCAAACCCAGAAACCTATGTCAGAAGTTGAAAATGAGTAAAATAATTATTCGCTCTACTTATTGGCTTTCCATTGTTATTCATTTCAGTTTTGGTGCTTAAGGTACGATGAGATGCCGCCTTTTCTTCCTGGCTCTGTAGGGTGCCTTGTGGGCTGCAGCTTTTCTATAGAATCTAGTAGTATGGAAACGATGCTCCTAGAGTGTTCTGATATGAATTCCTTAATTGTCTTTAAACAACTCTCATTTACAGGTTTCGAAATTTAGATGACTAATTTTAGACTGGATAAGTTGATATGCCACATCAGCACACACACATTTCATGGGAGTGTGTGTGTGTGTGTGTGTGTGTGGTGGTGGGGGATGCCATTACACACAGAGGATTTGGACATCAGTTTGCAGGTTTAGAATGTCACTTGTACTACCAGTGCTACATCCATTAACGTTTCATTTTTTAAGTGGCTGCAAGCTGTCTTCGTTACTAGCTGAGAGTGTACATGTACTCGAATTCATAAAATATCCACAGTCACATAGTTGTTGTAAGTGCATTCTTAGATTCTCAATAACATGCTGTGTGAATAAACATTGATTTTATCACAATTAAAAATCTTGTTTTTCATGTAGTATGTAATAGAGATGATGTGAACATGACACACTCATAGACATACAACATGTAGTTTTACATTTAATTAATAACGAAAAACAACAATCTTTAAATACAATTTTATGCAATATTTAAGAAAGACGGTTCTGCCATCTCTTAACAATTTTGGAAAATATCTTTTAACTAAAGTTTCTGTTGTAACAGCTTTGTTGTCAGTTTATTTATATTTATATATGTGTCTGATGAAATAAAGATTGTTAACAAGCACCACAAGTAGATGAATTGAAAAACCTGATGTGTGTGATCATTGTATAATTTATGTTGTAGTAAACAGTTTATTGATACATAATTATTTTTTTCTATTTATATATAATTATTTTTTTCTCTTGTTAAGGTTTTATATTTGCATGATTCCTTGCATGATAAGTAAAAATACTTAAAGTTCACACATATCTTAAAGAACATTATTGATAGTTATTGCAGTACGTTGTTGGAAATTTTGTAAAATTATAACCTGCCTTAATTAAAGACAGATCAACGTTATAAACTACCGAAGTTGTTCATATAATTATAATGTTTCTCATACTGTGAATGTCAGATTTATTTTCATATTTTGTGTTGGATAGATTATAAGTATAGTAAGAAATACAAATAAAAATACATCCTGAAGAAGTGAGTATCACTGGATGAATATAAGCAACTAATGTAAAAGGTAATTTGTTAAACAAATTAATAAAATTCTTACCCGGTATGAGCAGAGCTTTAGTCACATTGAAGCATGTTTGACTCTATAATTACAAATGAGGACCCTACCTGTTTGTGAAACCCATTTTCATAAACTTTTTATGTGCAAATTACTTATGATTTGATTATAAGACCCCTAGTAACACAAAAGTAAACAAAATATTATCAATGCTGCAATTAATGCTACTGATTACTGCTGGGATTCTGTACATATTTTACATATAAGGTGAGTGATTTAACCCAATGTTTTGGTCAAGTTCTTTACACTGAGTGCTCTAATGTGCAAAAACAACAATATGAAGATTCTCGACATGATGAATATGTGTACCCCACCAATAGTGAATGGTACAAAGAGACACTACTAATTTGTTAGTTAAACTCTGCTTCACACATTAGCAAACTTTTGCAGTAACAACGTACTATATATATATATTTAAATATATTTTATTTTAAAATATAAAGCAGTTTGCTTATGTTTTTTCAAAGTAACTCACAACATTATGTAGATGTCAGATTTTGATCTTCATCATCAAACTCGTTAATCAGTCACATCAAGTACTTGATTATTCTCACTAGATGACTAAAAATACTTATAATGCTAAAAATCAGGTTTTAATACCTATGGCAATTTGTTATTATTTGAATAGTTAGGATAATTGAGTGTAGGAATAAAGGAAAACCTAATTTTGATTAGATGATTATTTTTGTGACATTAATTGATTCAATCACAATTTTGATTAATTGATTATTTTATGTGACACTGATCAATGTAATCTATACTCATAGGTAATAGATTATGATTGAGTTAATTGCCCAGCTCTAGTTATCACATACTTTTCATCCTCAGAATTAACCTAATACTCTTACAGAAAATATTTTTTGTTTTGTTTCTGTTCTAGGCACAAACTCCACTGTTAGAATGGGGAGGCAGTGGGGAAAGCTATGTAAGTGCAATCTGTGTATTATGTTAATGTTAATATGTTTTGTACACTTTTATTGTTATACCTTTATTAAATTTCTCTTCTTTTTAACACTGCTGCTGATACAAGATTATTACCATTATAAAAGGAACCCTCGACAGATATGGAAAAAACAAACATGGGAAGAACCTTGAATTAAAAAAAATACGAAGCTGTTACAGAATTGAGGAAAAGAGCTTTAGACTGAACCAGATGGAAATTTTAGTTTTGTCTTTATCTAGAAATGTTCTGTTTATGACTAAAAGCTAATTAAAAAATAGTTTGGTTTAATACTTCTCACTTAGTATCTCCCAATGTAAAGAACAAGATATAGTAGTCTATGATGGGGAAAAAAAGTCTTAAGATGAGCGCAAAAAGAGAAAGAGATAGACTTTGTAAATAAAACAGATTTTGATCACTGCAATAAATATTTATTTCTTTATCTGTTACTTGCTAGCCACTCCAGTGAAAAACAGCATAAGCCAGCAAAGAAAGCTAGCCTTCTTCCTTATTTTAGCTCAGTAAACTATAAGTATGAAAATGTAATGAAAAAAAGTACACAAAGAAGCAGATAAAGCATTAAGTTCATATATTAAATTAAAAACCTTAGTTTTTGGCCTAACTGATTATAATTGAATGCTTTACTTATATTTTTCAGTCTATTTTATTTCTCTTTAAATGTTTGTAAGAGGTGTTGCAAAATAAATAACACTCTTTCCCCCGAAGTAATGACGAATATCATCATTCGTGAGAAAACGTCATTTCAACCTACTCTTGGGTGTTTGACTCTTTGAATTTCATTTTTTGTGAAAACTTTTGAATCATGGTGCTCACAAGAACTGAGGTTCGTGTCGCATGTGCTGCCTTTGGGATGGCTCAGAAACAAGTCACAGACATGCTCCGAGAATTCAAGTCGGAGATTTCATTCAACAATGCACAGAAGTAGCATTGGAAACTTTGCTTGAATGTGAGAGACATAAATGTGGAACCTTGATTTGTGTTTTCACTGATGTGTTCACAGAGACAGCCACAAAAACAGACATGTTTGTTGCATTGCTGAAATCTTTTGCAAATCGATTAAAACTCAAGCGATATTGATATATGGAATTACTTTTTTGATTGAATTAAAATCTTATTTTACTTTGTTATACTCTCGAGGAAAAAAGTGTGATTTATTTGGCAACACCCCTTACTACAGAATATATATACTTGGAAATACTTGACATTTGTTATAAATTATTTGATAATCAGCATTATTTGTAGTTCAAAATAAGTGACTCTCAAGCTTGAATTTATGTATTACTGTTTTGCTGTAGCCAGTAAACACTTAGATTTATTTTGTTACTTAGAATAGATAGATGTTTATGTTTTTAATTTATATGCTGCTTTTGAAATAGCACTTTGTTTTTCACTACTGTTGAAGTGTCTTCAGACTAGATAAACAATTGAACAGGTAGTTTTGTAGTTTTACTTGATATTTCCACAAAAATACTTTCTTTATGTGGTACATACTTATTAAAACCTCGGATGGACAAGACTTTGAGAAATACAGACACGGGTTGTAGGCTTGTAAACAGTTTTTTGTATTTGTTTTTATATTGATGTTTGCAAATTATAAAATTTAATACAGATAAAGAAAGTGTGTTTCATTGTATGAAGAAAGTTTTCTCTTGAGTCATAAAATATATTTTTCAGTGTCTGTTTAAAGAGCAATAGACAAAGAAAACTTTGTAGAAATAATAATGCTTGTGCTGCTGTGCAAAAGACAGATAGTTTTGTAATAATGACATAGATGTAAATTAACATGCTATCCTAAATACACAGCTTCTGAAAGCATGCTAGACAAAAATATATCACAAGCGCTTTTTTTGTAAAGAATTTCATCTATCAAAAACTAACAGTACACAGGTTTTGACAGCAAACTGTGTTTAATGAAAGAGAAGTTACAAATGCTGATTTCAAATTAACTAGTAATTTATCAGTTTTTTATTTTAAACTCTTTTGTGATCAAATCATTAAATGTGTTTCTTAACATCAGCATTGTTTCTTTTCTCTTTTATAGACAAATGGTGAAGAGGACTGGGAATATGAAGAAATAACACTAGAAAGGGTAAGAAGAATATCCTTTGTATAATGATCATTTTTTGGCTACTGCTATATTGTCATAAACTTTAAATATAGATGAAAATGCTGAATAAAAAAAATAGTTTGTTTTAGTGTATCAGTAGTTAATATTATCATACCAATCTTTGAGAAGTTATTCATAATGAATAATGATTCATGCTAATCCATTCATGATGTCAGAAAAACACATTGGATCAAGAAGTCTTAATACAAAATAATATAGTTTTTTTTTATTATTTCATTCTAATCCATACAGCGCAGTATATTTTATTTATACAGTTCACTCTACATAGCTTAGAAATACTTTTTAGTGTGTTAAAATCAATATAGAATACATTCCATTGGATCTTTGTTTCTAGGGAGGAGCAGGGTTAGGGTTTAGTATTGCTGGAGGAATTGATAATCCACATGTTGATGATGATCCAAGTATTTACATCACCAAACTTATTCCTGGGGGTGAAGCAGCTGTGGATGGAAGGCTACAGTAAGTGCTTCTTATATTGATCAGCTGTTTCTAATTTGTATCTCAAACTTGTTCCTTCAATAAAGATTTAAATAAAACTTATTCAGAAGAACCTTACAATCTTCTCTGTTTGAGATTATTCTGTGATAAAATTATGTGTGTCAAATATGATATGTAAGTGTATGTGTGTGTGATATGCATCTTTTCTTTTTCTTTGAAAGTCCTCATGTTTTATCTTACATATTTCTAGTTTCCTAACTGTGCAGAAATGATAATGTTTCAGCCATATCTCACACTTAATTATAAAATTATTCTGAAGAAGAAACAGCAATCCTATTTCTTTAATGTTCATCTGTTTTTTTTTATACATACAGAGGTTTGAGTACAATATATTAAACAATTTTAAGTGTTCATGCCATATGACAGCCACAGCCATTATAAAACCCCATTGGAATAGAATGTTTTGGAAATACATTTTGACATTGTTTGGGATTTTATAGGTTATGTGATGCCACAAAAATTGATCACTTTTGGGAAGGGTATGTAACAGACCTTTCTGTCACAAAATCTTCATACACTCATACAACAAACATATGTTCAGATCAGTGATTTAAAATTTTCAAGACAGAGACATTCGTTATACTTAATAGTGTTGAAAATATAAATAATATGGTTTACTTGAGTCACCAGGACCATCAAGAAAGAGACCTTCAACAAGTAGTATCCCAGATATGGTAAGTGGCGTCTTGTAACAGGTGAGAATTTATGAACATAAAGATAAGTGGCAAAAGCCATCCACGTGTCTCAAACAGTAATACACAACATACTCAAGAGGGATCTACATCTAGAAACGAAGCCAGTAGGATATGGGTTCATCAAGATAAGGCTTCCAGTCATACTTCATGTTCAACCACTGCATACTTCAAGGAACTGGAGAATGAAAAGGGTGTTTATGCTATACCATACAAAAAAATACTGGTAAAGTTACTGGATTTATTATCTATGTATTTCTGTTGAAATGCATGCTGAGAAACTGTCATCCTCTTATACTTGCAATGAGCCTTTTGCAATAGAAACTACACTGCAGGGCTATTATCAGAATGCATGATTGTTAGATAGAGCACAACTGGACATGGCAACATGCACTGTAACAATGTGGCAGGGATCCAAAATCCTTTTAGTGAAATATACTCAACCTCTGGGTGTATTTATTTTTCCATAAAATAGTCTTCATGAAGATATAATGATATATAATATCCTTGTTCTTATCACGACATAGTTTTTATGATTTAATTAATGTGAGGCTTATTTCAAAGCCTTAAAAGAAACTTGGACATGATCTTTTTTAAGTTGATAAATACAATAAACATTCTATTTTATTGCAAACATCTTTTGCAGCTGATGACTGACTATTAGTAGCTTGCTGCCAAACTGATACTTAATCAGTGTAAATATCTTTATATCAAGTTTCACTAAATGCCAGTGTTGTGGTATACTGCCAATATTAATGTGTGTCCTTTAGAGATAGTTTTGGCCTTATGTTTAATATAAATAGTATAACTATTTCAAATCTAAATGATAGGTTTATCCTTAGTTTTCTTTTATTTTGCAACATATTATGCTACTATTGTATTTTGAAAGAAAATAAAAAGTGCAGGAAAATATAAATCTTATTGTTTTGGTGTGTGTGATATTTTGTTTTTCTTTTAGTTAATAGTTGTGTTACTTCTATTCTGAATCTGCTTTGTATTTGTACATATATACAAGCTTTTTATTAAGAAGAAAAGAAAGTAAAAGAGAGTCAACTTAAATCAACTTCTAAGAGTTGTCAGGATTCTAAAAACTGTGTGTGTGGTGAGAGGTGTTATCATACTTGCAGTTTAGAAGGATATTCATTTCAATCTGTGTCCTTCAAAATTAGGATATTCCATTAAGTTCAAGTACATATTTGGTTTATGTTAATTGTTTAATACTGAGGGCACATTTTCACTATAACATGATCAAAGTTGAGATGTGTGTGGTGAGAGGTGTTATCATACTTGCAGTTTAGAAGGATATTCATTTCAATCTGTGTCCTTAAAAATTAGGATATCCCATTAAGTTCAAGTACATATTTAGTTTATGTTAATTTTTTTAATAGTGAGGGCACATTTTCGCTATAACATGATCAAAGTTGAGATGTATATGTCAAAAGTTTTTGTTATTGTAAGTCTCAGTAAAGATATGGACAATACAATAAGGTTTTGAATTTACATGACTCTTTACTGATGTTGAATTATTGAATTCTAATATCTACCCATGAAAAACTCCCTTAAAACTGTATAATGTAATACATTTCTTATTTTCTGGTGATTCAGGGTAGATGACATAATACTGAAAGTAAATGAAGTAGACTTGGTTGATGTGTGTCATTCCATAGCTGTAGAGGCATTAAAACGGGCAGGGAATACTGTTCATTTGGTAAGTGATACAAGTTTCATGATTAAAACATTAAAATTATTTTCATAATATTCATAAAATAGCCCATAAGATGATCTGAGAAAGAGATAGGATTGATGTTTTGGTAAACTTGACAAGTTTTCTTCTGTTCTACTGCGGAATTTGAAATTATTGAGTCAAAACTTTCATTTTTATTTAGTAGCATAATAACTGTAGTGTTACAAAGTTGTTTTTGGAGCACCTTGTATGTCTTGATTTTGCAGTGCAGTGCAATATGCTAATATCTGACACCTTTTCACATCTTTCTCTTAAGTAGATATCGTTGCACAACTTAATGATTATTTTCCTATAGTTTTGACTTAATTATTTGATTACTTGCGATATAAATTACCATCCTTAGAAATCTAAATAGCTTTTCTCAAAGATCAAAATATCAATAGGGTAAAAACAAGCTATGTATTAATGCTAATCTGAATCATACTAATTGTTTGACTTAAATACTTAAAAAAATAGGTAGTTTATCATTCTATTTCAAGTCTCACTTGCATCAAATAGTTAAGCCATTATATGCCATATGTACATTTTTGAGACGTTTTATACTTCAAAGTCGAATGTTTTAAGTAACAAAGAATCTGTTACCTTTCATATATGACTTTACAAAAGAAGAGTTTCTAATTAATAATAAGTCTAAATATCAAAGTAACTTGTAAGTGTTATTCAAAGTAAAAGGCTTTAGAAAGATCATGGTCGATGATTCCTTTATATTTTGGCCCGACATGGTCAGGTGGTTAGGGTGCTTGACTCGCAATCTGAGGGTTGCAGATTCAAATTCCCATCCTACCAAACATGCTTGCCCTTTTAGCCATGGGGGCATTATAATGTGATGGTCAATCCCAATAGTCATTGGTAAAAGAGTAGCCCAAGAGTTGGTAGTGGGTGGTGATTACTAGCTGCCTTCCCTCTAATCTTTCACTACTAAATTAGGGATGGCTAGTGCAGATAGCCCTCATGTAGAAATTCAAAACAAACAAACAAACAAATCCTTTATGTTTTGGAGTGAGTAAAACTTGTATTCATAATTTCATGCCTTACTCTAGCCAGGCATAAAATTGCATACACATTATCCAACTTCTGACCATAGGAATAAGATGAAATGCTGTGTTTTTTCTAACCATTATCAATAATTTCTGATCAAAGCAAGCTACCTACATAGATCAAAACTGAAAATTAACCTAGTATTTAAAAAAGCTAATATAATATGTGTCTAACTAAAATGTCATAAAACAAAAACTTAATGATTAGAATGCATTGGTTCATCAATTGGACATGCTCTTTTTGGCAATAATCTCAATATCTCACAAGGTTCAGCCAGTTTAGGAGACTTAGGTTAGTTCTAAGTTCATAAACTATTCTAGCAATGCAAAATAATCCTCATAATAAAAGGGTAAGTAATAAAACTAAATGTATTTTAAGTACTAATTTTAACCAGTACTGCTAATGAAATTATTTTTAAAGAAAGAATAGAACTTACTTACAGAACATGTAATAACGAGCTGTTTACTTTGTGAGCCATAACTAGTTCTTTGTCACTTGCAAAATGTGACACCAATATATGCAGAATTTTATATAATCTTTCCTAAGAATGTCTGATGACAAATTAAAGCACATTAAGTGGCTCCAAAGGCCTGACTTTAGATTAGCTAAACATCTGAGTTAAATAGCTACCACACGTTAGAATTTAGCTATCGCATTGGATGGTACAGATAGTACAAAAAAAACGAATATTTATGTAGATAAACATAAAAAATAAAGGAATAACAAAATTGTGTAAGAAATAATACAATTATTAATATTCTATTTAAAATAATCAAGTTCATGTAATACAAAAAGACAAATAACTTACAAAAGATAGTATGAATTAATCTGACTGCAACCATCCCCTAGAGCTGGAAGTAGTAAATGGACCTAAACCCTAAGAACTGTCTAAGTATATATATATATATGTTTGTGTGTGTGTGTGCATAATTATATATAAAAGCAGTAGTGAAATTTGAAAAAGGTCAGAACAATAATAAAGCTTTAAACAAAGAAATAAGAAGAATGATTGATATAACTTATGAAATAAATTAACAGAAACTGATGTAAAGATCAATACTTTATGTGACATTACATCAAAGAAAGACTGACCAGTAATAAGAACATAACAGTATCTTGACTACACACTTTGTGTGCTGCATGATGCTGCCAAAAGATCGGTAAAGGAAAGTGTGTGATGGAGATGGCGTTATGTTTTTATTGATGCAGGTTCACACAAACCATTTATCTGTAGATCACACTTTGCAGCATAAGGTGTTACATACTAATCTAACAGAATTAATGCAACAAAGCTAATCATGTAATGTTATGTATAATATATATAAGGAACTGTTATACAGCTTGCATTAAGTATTGGGAGATAAAACTAACAATGGATGTTAAATTGCTTATTCTTACCTTAAAAAAACTAGTTAAGAAATTAAGATGTGAAAATTTTTAAAAGGTCATGGTATTTTCTAAAATTATTAATCCCATAATTGGTAGAAAGAAGATTGTTGAATTTGTCACAAAATTTAATAAATTTGGTGTTTAAAATGTGGTAGGAAAAACCTTATTTGTGAAAAATAGAAGTGAGTTTGTGAGCTATGCCCACAAAATCATGTAACGTTGAACAGTATTTCTATTATATGTGATAAGCTTTGGGTACATTAGTAAACACAATACCATAACTCATTAAGAAAGTTTTATTCAGAAATAGAAAATTTTAAATTAACAGCATCTGTTTTATTGAAAGTTTTAAACTGGAATGTTTGATTAATATAACTTATATTTAAATCCACCAAGGTTATTTGTTTTTAGTGAAAAATCATTTTTTTCCATAGTCTGTTCTGTCAGATAGGTTATATCACATAATATTTTATACAATGATTTTAGTATTATATGTTATTTGATTAACATTTATTTATTTATTTTTCAAATGTGCCTTTAACAATTTATCGTACACATTTCAGTTTGTGAAGAGGAAGCGACCTCATCAAAGTTATGTTTTAGCAATAGAACTAGTTAAAGGGAACAAAGGTCTCGGATTTAGTATTGCAGGGGGAATAGGCAATCAGCATGTAGTAGGAGACAACGGAATTTACATTACTAAAATTATGGAAGGAGGAGCAGCTCATCTAGATGGTACACTGAAAGTAGGAGATAAACTGATTGCTGTAAGTAATGTATTGATAACTTGGTATTTGTTGAATCAATGTCACTGGATATTTCATTGTTTTAGAGAAGTTTTAGGTAGAGTAGATTGTACTGGATTGCATGCATTTGCCTAGAGTGTAGGAGTAGATGATTTTTCAGTCTCTGTGCTGAAACTATGGAAGACCTAGTAGAACCACAGGTCAACAAATGAAAGAACACCAAGAAACCACAGGACTATTATGTCCTGAAAAATCTCTTAGCTGAAAATACTTGTCATGATTACAAATGTATATGATTACCTAAGTCTAATTATTAATTAGCACTATTTTGTCTTATTATATTATTAGTTTTAAATTTACTTTTTAAAATTTTTATTTAACAAGTTACTAATTATGAATTAGGTTTTTCATCCTATGCTTTTCATAATAATCTGCCACTGTTTTCATGGAAGTCCTGAGAAGGACTGTTTTTGCAGATTTGATCCTTGGTCTTTGTGGTAGAAAGTCTGGTATTTTATATACTCAACTGGAGTTTCTCCCATTAGGACTTGAATCAACTAACTATTTGAATATTTTCAAGGTTTTGGTTACTTCTGTGCTAAATTGGCTGTTTAATCAGTTATGTGGATGTAGAAGTCTTATTTTATTTATTTCTTTTGTATGTTCATATACTATTATTTTAGTATTATTCCAATTTATTGTATGTTCTTCTCTGGCATTATGTTCTATTGAAGACTACTCAGTATGTCTGAGTCTTCTAAGTCTATTATGCTCCCGAATTCTTAACTTTTGTTGATCTTTTTGTTTCTGCAATCTACTGAAATCCATATTCACAGGTTTTGTTGAAAGTGGTGTTTCTCTTCTCCATTAGGTGTTTAGGTACTTTGATATGAACAAACTACAATTGTATTGTGTCTTCTGAATTCTGTTCTGACTTTATGCTTTTCATATATCTACTTTATGTTTTCAGAGAGGACTCTGACATGGGGGATACGGCTCCATGTCTGTAATTGTCTTTCTGCATTTTCTTGCACGGCATTTATTTTCTTCTTTATCAAGAATAAGCTGGAAGAAAATTACAGCATTCATTGAAGTCAAAACAGTATTCAGAAGTAATTCCAGTAAGTTCTCATTAAATCACCCAAAGACCTAACAAAGAAGAAAAACACCATTTAAAAGATCCCCTTTGTATATGAATAAAAGAATTAATTACTAAGTTATAATTAAACTTAGGTGATATAGCCATATTAACCAATGACAGTGATTGATATCCGATCACCACAATCTTACCGTAAGTTCTTGGCTGAATGTAACTTCAACACTGACCACATCAGCAGCAGATACAATGGCACATCCTCAGCACAGCACAGTACTAGAACAAGATACACATTGTTAATTAAAATCAACCAGTCCACTTTCAGCTGTAACTAAGCCTAAACGTTGATAGAATTTAGACCTGTACCTTGTAAGCATACACACTACACAGAATGCACCACAAACCAGTGCTTGCAATCTGCACTTCCACTGTTCACAGGTAACACATTTACTGTAATGATGTCACACACCAACTATGAACAGGAAATCTTTTCAATTACACTACAAGACCAGCTATATATAAACCATTAATGCAGATTATTCAATAATGTGATAAAGGTCTCAGCACAGATACTGAATGTCATTCACTCCTGAACTTCAGCCAGAAACAGTCCATAAAACTAAAATCCTGTACATAACATTATGATTTAAAAAATGTTTATTATTTGTGTTTGATTTACAAAATATCATGCTTCAATTATTACATTGTATCATTTATTTTTATGTCTAAATTCTGACAACTAATTTTAAGTGTGTTTTGATACATATTTATAAAGTATAAAAGTATGTACCGATTATAATGGTTTATATAATCCAAAAAAGTGATTACATTGATATTTATAAAATATATAATTATTTCTTATTCTTATAACATTCAGTTCATTCTGTTCTATTTTCACCCAGCATCTTGAATTTTGAAGATTAATCTTTACAGCATTCATAAACAGCATTTTAATGATTTCATTCTAAATGTTAACTTTCACTTTGCTAAGTGACACTTAAGCAAGAGATTTCAGTTTTATACAAATCTAGGCATCTTTTTACTGCTGACTCACAGTTGTCAGTTTTTCTTTTTTACACACACACACATATATATATATATATATATATATAAACATTCACACAAACACTAAAAATATGCATATTTAATCACAAAAAGGTCCAATTCCTCATAGGCATAAAAATAATAGTCAGTCAACATAAGTTTCTGGTTTTATTCCAAAATGTTGCTTTCAGTTCTTATAGAAAAAGTAAGCAAGTACTTTTACATTCTCTAGTTATTTACCAGTCTCTCTCTCTCTTTTTTTACACCAGACCTGGTAATTCTGGGTTATCAAACTTTCTGCAAAATTTTTTTACTTTAGAAATATTTGGCACAGCTTTTGGACAGGAAACTGATTAGTAACTATACGGACAGGAAACTGATTAGTTACTATGATGTTGAATAGAAGTTTAGAAGTTTTCTTACCCTTATTTTTCTGTCTATAAATAATTGAAAGCTTTGGAAGGAAACAGTTTTTGATTTTGTTTCACAGCATAGATGCTATGATTGAATGTTTATATATATATATATACACACTGTTCTAAACAATTATAGGATAATCAGAATTTGAATACTGTGTTATTTTGAGGTAAAACTGACTTCTCTCAAGAGTAAAATAAGATAGGTCTGCCATATAACAGATGATTCAACCAAGACATATTATAGAGTGGTTCTGAAATGCCCTGAAACTAATTGAGTTAATGGAAAGAAAGAGGCTGGGCACAAATGTAAACAAATAGTAAAAACAATCATTATGTAATAACACTAAGACGACAATGTGTGTATCAGCACAAAGGACAATTGCTTGTACTTGAGAGTTATACATCTTGAGAAACTGTAAATTCTGTAAATATACAATATCATACTTGCACACAACAGTTAGCACTATCCATGTGACTGGTCATTCCTATTAGAATATAAGGGAAATAGTAACCTCGAGATATCACCTGACCTGCCATTGGAGAAAACTGCTGTCAACTTTCTTAGACTAGATGTAACTTTACAGTTATCTTCTCCATGGGCAGACCATGTGTTATCATTGATAACAGTGCAGAACAATGGGTTGTTAGTGGTAAAATAATATAACAACTTTCTTGACCATATTTTATGTGAAAACTCCACTTACCCAGAATAAATGAAAAATTTTGAATAAAGGGGTAGCAAAAAATGATATACCTCAATACTATACTCATGTCAATTCAAAATCACTATTATAAAGTAAATTCAATTACCCCCCTCTTCAATTTATTGTTATGTAAAACAAGGCACCTAATAATTATTTATATGATCAGAAATGCAAGTAAATGGCCATTCAACCTATACTGTGTATAGTGGTTTATACAATCTTGTCTGATTCGTTAGTTTGAAGTGAACTTATAGTTCAAAGTACTTGAAATTGCTCATGGACCTTGACTATGCCTTAGAGAATACATTTGGAAGTTTTATTTGTGCAGAGAACCATCAGACAGAGTGCCTCAATGTATCATTAGCAGAATGTAGAACTACATCAAAAACCAATTGTGCAATTGTTCGTACAACTGAACGACCATCATCCACAACACAAGCAGATGCCTGTTAGCTGATGTTTCTGGCTTGCCAGTGTCACAGAGTATATGCTTTGTGAATCAATCAGATGTTTACAGCTACAACAGGATGCTATGACAGTGTACAGGTAGCTAGAAATTGACTTCACTTAGTTGCCCAAGGAGATGTGTTTTTCTCATAGCAAGGTACAAGATAGCCCATCCTGCAATGGTGTCAAGAACATGTTTGGTAGACCAAAAAACATGTAAAGCAATTCTTATTTTTACAAATGAGTCATGCTCACTCTACTTCTAGATAACAGAATTATATCCATTTTCAGAGAATATGGAACCAGATAAATGCCTCATTTCAAATAGGAACATGATACATGTCATGGTGGTGGAAGTATGGGATGTGTGTGTAGGAAGAGGCACTGGTGAATGTACTAATGTTTACTTCTTTTGGTATGATACCACTAATATCATCATGATAGGGTCACATTATATTGTCTTTTTTGCCATATTCTGGCACAATTTTCTTGATTTCATTCAGCTTTATGAGTGACAGTGCTCACTCTCTGTATTAAACTAGTTGTCACATTTTGTAAAGAAGAAGAAAAAGAGATTGACTGAATGGAGTGGTCTTCACACTTAATGGAATTCAATCTCATCAGGCATGTATGAGATGCTCTTGGGAAATATGCCACATTTTATCAAATGATTACAGACACTGAAAATGTTTTGTAAACATATCTTTTTTTAAAGGATCTTAACAGCACTCTAATTTTAAGCATGCAACATCAGTGAATGGCTGCCTTTCATGCTTGTGGTGACTATATACTCCATGTTAAAGTAAAAAGTCATGAACTCTAAGCATGTAAAACCACATCCACCAAATGGTCATTTACAAGTATAAGCTGGGTGACCAGTCCTATGCATTTTAAATCACATGACTTATTATCAGCTTCCTAGTTTGTGTGAAAATTAACTGAGTTATAAGTTATGATATTATTTTATAACAGCGGTTTCACTTTGTAATAGTTAAAAAATAATTAATGGTTAATTATTTTGAGCAGTGTATGAACACATATACATAAATAAATAGCTTTTATACTATTGATTACATTAATTGTTAATAGGCAATTGAATCAGCACTATAAAACAATAATGAATTAAATATCTCATTACCATTATTGGTCCAGGTTGTCAACTTACTGTCAACGAATAATGTCTGTGGCAATAGCACCCAAATGTGTTGGAGATATCCCATCATCAGACAAAATACAAATGCTGATGTTAATCTAGTCAGCCGCCATGGAAAATCAAATATGTGTACAAAGCTGAGTGCTTACACGCACAACATTTGTATTTTGTCTGATGATGGGATATCTCCAACACATTTGGGTGCTATTGCCACAGACATTATTCGTTGACAGTAAGTTGACAACCTGGACTGATAACGATAATACGATATATATATATATATATATATATATATATAT